TCATTTGGCGACAGTTCTAGGAACGCATTTTCGACAGTATAGGTGACTTCTTGAAAGTGATACGCGGGAATATTTTGATTGTGATCACGTAGTGATGCCAAAGAATCATAATCAGCCATGAACACCTTCTTAAACCGTAAATATAACGCCGCTGTGTTCTTATTTCCAGTCTTGTAATAATATTTCATTAAAGTCTGACAAAGCTCAATCTGAGACTTGAGCTTCGAAAGCAAATGTTCATACTGCTCCTGCTTAGACATCTAATAAATGTAAACCAAATCAGTACTGCGTCAATTCTCTAAATTAATAATTTAAAAGATAATTATTATTGCTTTTGTCGTTTCGACCATCACGTACATAAAAGAATTAAATCCATACCGTGCTTAAAAGTCTATCCTCATCAACAAAATTTACGCTATTCACTGCGTCAACATTAATCTGGTTCAGGTTTGCTCTTGGGGTACTAGCGGATACAGGCCTCGTAGGTGTCGAAGCAGCCGGTGCAGCAGGCGTTGTGATGGTCAGCTTGGCAGGTGGTACGACAGCCGGTGCAAGAGATGGTCCGGCAGGTTGAGAAACAGCCAAGTCAGACAGATCTGGTTCGGCTGGTAATACAAAACCGGTTGCTAACTGTCCTCCACTTTCCAAAGTCTTAATTTGTTGATTTATGCTGTCATAAACTCGTAGCATTTGCTGAACACGCTGAAGATTTTGTGCCTTCCTATACCTCAACGTAGCGCTTCTATATTGTTGTAAACATTTTTTTAGAGACGTAAGTTGCGCAATTTTCTCGGGATTCGGTTCAGACACGGCAACCGATTCATCAACGGCCTCCGTCGTCGGCACTTGAACGGAGTTCACTGGAACCTCCTCTTGAACCTCCTCCTGTCGTGTAGGGTTCGATGAAGGCCCCGAAGCAAGAGCTTCTAATTCGCCCTACTCGAATAAAGTCTGTTTCAGTTTGATTCTAGAATAACTACTCTAGACGGAATTAGACACAAACTGGTCGTAGTCGATAAGCTACCAATAATTCAGGATTGGTCATGTCGCTATCGGTAAACGTTTCGTCAATGGGGGGTACGTCTAGTTCATCCCCCAGGGCTGCAATGTCAACACCCATATCTCCAAAATCAAACGCATCTGTACCATGAACATTGGTGCTCTCGTCAGCTGTTTCGTTATTTCGAACTTGACCAAAGCCAAACATTGACAACTATAATAATAATAATAATAATAAAAGCAAGTGGTAAATCTGCAATTCAATGCTTTAAAAGAAACCGGCACGTGTTGTTGTACTACCAATCCTCATAAGTCATATTGACATAATAATAACATAAGCTCTGAAAGAGTAGAATAGTTGGTCCCAGTTATCTTTTTTACACTCTGATTGCGTTGCGGTTGTAGATTCATAACAGTTTTATTTATAGAAAGACTCGAAAAGGCCCGCGATGGTTGAAATTGACTCTGCAGAATCAAGTGACTCGCTAAAAAACCGTATTAGTGCATAAACGGAAGAAACATGTAGACTTTTCTTATAATTTTACCATCTTTCGAATTCTAATATCTTTGAAACAAACTGTTCTACTCAACGAACGCGAAAAGTACACCGAAGAATTGTCAACGTTGTCAAGATTAGAAGAAAAGCATCAATGATCAGTCGCTGATTTCACAATCGCATTGACACACTAGTTAGCGGAGAACACGTTCAATCACCAATAAATTTTCCTCGTTATAAGAGGGATCGATTTTTCGCTACATTCAAGACTTTGTTGGTAAGACCGTATTAACTATGTGGTCAGAAACCTATAACATGCACTATTTACTAATGAGATGGTTTCTGGAATTAAAGTCGGGATTGATATAAAGAACTAGTTCTCAATTATATGCTTTCCCAACGACACCAAGTTTGATAGTTTAGTAGTGTTTATAGCCATGATTTCACATTTTTATTTTGCGGCACTTGAACTTTTCAATGCACAAAATGACCGAATTTCCAGTAATTGCGAACTAGACTTTATTTATCATGCTGCAGTACCAGAACGTTAAATGTAGTAATATTTGCGTATATACTAAGACTATAAACGCTAGACTTACCAATAATGGAAACCTCTTGTTTTTGCGTTTGTCTATTGCAATTACGGGCAGCTGGTGACGTATTAGTAGAGCCTTATTAGAAAATTGAAAATTATATGGACGATGTACAGTATTAATTGACAACCGCTTTTGGGTGAAAGCACCAAAAATACAATTGACCGAAAATCTGAAACGGCTGAGCAACCGAAGTAATTACTGTTGAGTTATCAAAATGGTAAAGAAAGATAGGTGAGAAATTTACAATGGAACTAATGGACCAAGGAAATACAGTAAAACCTTCATAAATGCAACGTCTTGGGACCGAATGCTATGTTGCATTTATGTACAAATGGAGGGATGATTAACTTGATGCTAGGCATTTTGATTTCTGTGGGGATGGCTGTTTTATTATCATAATAATTTTAATTAATAGAAAATTTAGGAATTAATAGAATTAATATCAATTTTGTTTAACCCTCTAATAAATTTACAAAAACAACGGAACGTATCAAAAAAAATTCGAATTGCATGGAATTGCAAGTGTCTCCATAAGATTGCATGTTTTATGCATGTTTTCGATTCCGCCATTCAAATACCGACAACCATAAACATATTTAAATACTATGTCACCCATCTCCATAATCCGTCGATACTTTCCGCACCCCGCCATAATACACGTAATAAGCCTATTATCACTCTGGACGAAAAACGAAAAAAAAGGCGTAATAATAAGTGGCTGTTCCTCACAAAATAACGTCCGACTGTAAGCTTACGTATATTCGCAAAACCAACGAGTGGAAATTTTCGAGACGCAAAGACAACTCCGCGAAACCCAAGCAGATATTCATGCAGTTTCCATCGATACTGGCGTTCGTACACCCTTCACCTGGCCAAAGGCGTACATTTTAAAAACATATGGAGCAATCTTTTCTCCTTGAGCTTTTTTTAGGATGCTTCTAATAGTACTGTAATTCTTTGGATTTAATGTAAATTAGCTTCATACTATATTTTATTACCGTAAACGTTTATTTTATCTCAACAAGTTTACATTTTTGATACCAGATTTAAAACGCCACAGCTGTGCCACTAATACTAAATCAAAGTCAGTCGCTTTGCTGATTTCAGCCAGCCAGCGATCCGCTCGCGAGAAGAGCAAGAATGGTCTTTTCTGGATGCGGCCTTATTGCTCTTGGTCTAAGCGTTTGGGGTGTTCAAATCATAGGCGCTCTTTGAATGTGAGCATCCTTACTAGATTTATCAAATCTGCTTTGTGTATCTACGTCACTTACCAAATATGGTTGATCAAAGCTATATCGCTGT